AAAAAAATAGATCATAACTAAATTTATACTATTTTTAAGCTAAAATTGTTACACGAACTCTACAGCTTAAGGGATAGTAATTGCCTGAAAATGAGATATTTAATAAAATTAGCAAAATGATTCTTTAGCTAATTCGATTAAGTTATTGCAATGATACAGTATATAAGATACATCGAAATCAAATTTGTGAATTCAGAATCAGCTTGTATTAGGGATGGGTAATGCAATATTAGTATCTAGAATATATTACTAGAGTATATGCATGAAGATTTGCGAAGTACTGTATTGCTGTTTAAATTGAATTCAAGCGCCTTTACTTTCAAAAGCCAAGTTATTCAATATTAACTTTTAATTTGAAGTTCGAGCGAAATTAAAATTTTATTTCAACTTGAGTGTATTTAGAATCAATGTATGTTAATTCTAAATCTAGCAAGATTCCATTTCCTGCAAGCTCTGCAAATATAAATTTATTATATTAATATTGACACATTTAACCTTATTAAATTTTCATAAATTTTCGTACAAATTAAATGCACAATGAAAGTATTCAAATAAAAAAGGTTGTTCTTCTTAGCCAATAGATCTTAACATAGTTCTGAATAGTATTCAAAAATAAGCCGGCTTATCACGGCTTGCTGTAGCTTAATGCGGCTTATCACGTGATAAATTCGAATTTATCACCAAGCCATGTGATATCTTCGAATTTATCACGCAATATTTTCGCGATTATTACATGGCTTAGTGATAATTCGAATTTATCACGTGATAAGCCGCATTAAGCCGCAGCAAGCCGTAATAAGCCGGCTTGTCTTTAAACACTAGTTCTGAATATAAATTAATACTAGCTGGGTCACTTCAAGGGTGAACCCAAGTGGAATTTTTCAGATAGATCAAATCAGTAAAATTGATTTGGGAAGTTGACCCATAACCAGTAGAGCAGCTATTAAAAATTGAAAAAGACCTCTACTGATAAGGCGAGAAATTAATTTTTATAGTAAATACTAATTTCCTTTTTCTATTATTTTCTAATTATAGCTTACTTAACCTAATCTTTCTTTGATTCGCAACCAGAGCTTAAATTAAGACATAAGAACAGTCTTTACGAGAATACCAATCTCTTTTTTTTTTCTCTTAATTCTAGTTTATCAGGCTTGCCTTTCTTGAATCAGCCTTGAATCAGCAGATGAAGCACAGGAAGGCTGGTCTTTACAAAAGTACCAATCTTTTCTTTTTTTTCTCTCTAATTCTGTTTTACTGAAACTAACCTTTCTACTTGGTCTTCAGCTTGAATTGAAGTTAAATCTAAAAATAAGGCAAAAAAACTTGTTACCATAGTATTAACTCTTTTCTTGTTTTTTTTTTGATCATATTTCTCATAACCTCATCTTTTTTAGATTACCAGATGAAGCTTGAAATAAGACAGGAAGACTGGTTTTTAGATAAGTACTAGTGTCAAAGAGTTAAGTGATCACCGATATAACTGCTATCTATCCAAGTAGTTTATTTTTTTATGGATCTCATTTGGCTCAAAATACACACCTTTACTCGCAGACACACACTACTAGGCATAAGTATTTACTTAATAATATGTTTTCTTTATTATTAGTTGAAGAGACTGACTCAATCTCTTCATTTACATTCGCTTTTATATGAAATCTTTATTATATAGTTTGTACAACAGTTAACCTATTTCTTTCTTTAATTAAATAAACTCTTAAATTTTCTCCAATATATCATCATTGTCGTGCATGCAGAGATCATGATACTTATCTTATTTATACCGCTCATACTTCGACCTGATCAATCACATGATCACGTGAGTCGTTTGAACTATATTTTGTTTTTATCTTTTCATTCTTCGATTCATTAACGTTATCTATTTGTATACCTTTCACTAGGTATAAGGGTCTTCGAAAACTACGTGACAGCTAGTTTCGTTTTTTTTTTTTTCTAATCTATCTTACAGGTTTTAATTAGCAGCTAAATATAAAATAAAGCAGAGAAGTTGTCACTATAATTAGTATTAGCTCTTGTTTTTTTTTAAATTATATATTTCAGAACTAATTTTACTTTTCTTAAATCAACCTTGAATTAGCAGATGAAGCTTGAAATGAGATGGGAAGGCTGGTCTTTATGATAAATATCAGTCTTATTTTTTTTTTTCAATTCTATTTTACTGAAACCAAACCTTTCTACTTTTTGGCCTTTGGTTTTATCAGCGGCTAAGTTTAAGAATAAGATAGAAAACCTTGTTACCTTTTTGCTTGAATCGGCAACTGGATAAGAATTTTCTTCTGTAGTCTTTGTTAAAGCGTGTAAGCCTAAAAGAGAGAAATTATGAATACGAATATAAGAAACATGATGTTTTAGACAAATAAGTTAAATAACGTTGCACAATCTGCAATGGTTGTTAACTTTGCATAATTTTTAATATATAAAAGATGGCTCAGAAAAGATACTGTATTACAATAATAAAAAGTAAATTTTATAATGAGAAAACATCACAAGAGCAGGTAATTTACAGGTTAATTTATATAATAATGTAAGGGAGGTGATAAAAAATAATGATAACTATTTATATAAAAATATAGTAATAATTTACAGAAGTAATAATATATATGTACTAATAATAAAAAATTTAAATAATTATACTGTATTAAAAATTTTTGCACAATATATAAATATGACATAATTTAATATAAGAATAAGAAATATAAATTAACGTATTCACATAAATAAATAAGTACAGAGCTAATAAAATTAAATAAATAATCTATAATGAAAGATTGTGAGCAATTCCCTCCAAAAAGGTCATTAATGATCTGCTGCTGCAATCATCTAAGACTGTTTTAATTCGTAAATTACGCTCATTATTTAGTCTTCCTTGATAAGGTCTTGGTGCCCCTCGCAAAATAGCTGTGATATCGAGTTGAACTCGATTTTGTTCTTTTTGAATTTCTTTTATAAATCTAAAGATATTCAAATTACTCGAGCCAATTAGAGTTTCCCACCTTCTATGCCAGGCCTCAACGGAATTATTTGTTCTAGGAAAATCATATTCATTATTTTCGTAAACTGACCAGAAAGAAGGTGGAAATAATAGATCTCTCCAGGTCACATCCCTATTCCTGGATACTTATCTTACTTGGCGGCGAATATAGGTTTCTTTAAACCACTTAACAATTAAATTTGCTTCCTCCAGAAGATGGCCTTTTAACCCATCGAAGGCATTAGAGATTTCATTTGGAGGAAGGAAGGCAAGTGTGGAAATTTGGCGAATTTTTATACTAAAATCTTCGTTGGTCCCATACCGAGTAGTTAGATAAGCGTCTCGAACTTTTCTATATACGTTCTGAGACAAATGAAAGAAACACTACTTGCTTCGAGTAGTAATAAATTCTAATATAAAATAAGATATATTATATATATATATTAGCCAATATGTATACAGAGGGTACTATGGGTTAACGATTTACAAGTAAATTAGTTGATAACTCCTATATTAATGATAAAATATAATAAATACCTGCTTGAAATGCATTTGTAGCCGTGAGCTCAAAATCTGTTAAAACAAATTCTGGCTCTAAACGAATATTATGGTCTTTGCTAAAATCTACTAAGTCTTGAAATAATCTTTTATAACATATCTCTGACTTACTAGACATCAAAGCATACACAAAAGAGAAAGTTCTGGAATTATCATCTCCCCAACGAACCCGTGGATTGTATATAATTGTTGAAAAACAGTTGGCATATCAAAAGTTCCATCTATCAACCAAATTAAAGATTGGCTTAAATACCGAATATTCGAAACTATCACCAGCAAAAAAAATATACGTAAACCTCTGTAAGTTTTTACATAAGCGTAAACTTATGAAAAACTTACGATTAGTTTGGAGTATTACGTAGAGGTAATAATTACGAAAGTTTACACTATAGAATTTCAGAATATTACGTAGAAGTAATAATTACGAACATTTACGGCTTAGTAAATTTAAATGTAGCAAAATGCAAATAGTCGAAAACTAGCGAATACATGCGTAAAATTATAAATATTTACGAACGACAAAAATCAAAAACATACGAAAACATGCGAAAATTTGCGAAAATTTACGTAAATCAACAAGATATTACGTACAACAAAACATCAAAAAGAAGCAAAAATATAAATTATAAATCAAAAAAAATAAATAATATAAATTTTCAAAATAAATGTAATAATTTTAATGTTTTCGTAAATATACGAAAAAAATTGTA